AACTGCTCTGTGGTTTCCGTGTGTACCTAAACTGAAATTCTGCCACCACAGTGAGAGGGATATTGGCAAAGGAATGGAAAGTTGAGGGAGAGAAAAGATAAAATTAATCCTCCCTTGCAGTTAGTTGCTCCTGAAAGCTGAAATTTCTTCTAAGTTCATGTAAAACTAACAATCTATATAAGAAATAGAGAAGGACCAGATATATGGGAAAGACAAAAAAAGACAAATAATAGGAATGTAAGCAGAGCCAGTGCTGAGGACCTGCTGCCAGGACCCYGTCACCTGAAACGTGTTCTGTCATTTACTGCTACCTGTGCAGGAGTCACAAAAAAGAACAAAAGGGCCCAACTTGCAGAATCTGCAGCAGTGCCCGAGACATCTAAGGATGATTGTCTCTGAACCTGAGCTACAGGAAAAAACAGGATGAGAAAGTTCTGTGCATCACCTTAACCACGTTCCCCAGATACCGTGCTAACAAGGCAGGTTTTAATTCCACTTGCAAYTGTAGCGTCACAAGCAAATCTTTAGAGCTGCAGTTCTTTATGCATTTATGGGCTTCAGGGCTTTGCAATCTATGTGGATGTGCTTATCTCTGCACAAGATGAAAGTTAAATGAGTTGCTTATGTCACTAAAACCTGAACGTGTTGTCCCTGAAAGGTGAAGGAATGTTCTCTGTTGCACCTTGCCAAACCACACAGTGACTCCTTGGGGTCAAATTATTTGACTGTGCTTTAGTTTTCCTTACCATACCTGTCTTCTTTATGTTCCTTGCTGACATCCTTGTGATTGTGTTTGTGTATACATAAATCAACATTGTTTTGTGCAAATGGTTTCTATGGAATCTATGCGATGTCTTTGTTTTTCTTGATAAAATACATACATATATATATGATGTGATATATATAGAAATCTTACTTTTGAGCTGTGATCCCATTCCAGGGAAGTGTTTTTACTATAATTGTTTTCCTATTCATAACCTTAATGAGTAATATTGTAAATTGTAAATTTGAAGAATATCTGAAAGATATGTCAAACTTTGGATATGTTGCGCACTGCTATTTTGGGAATTGTCCAGTTATGCCAACTGTGACAAAAATGTTTATAAATGTATCTGTAAATGTAAAATCATTATTGAATCCCAATGCTAGAAGCAGTGATTGCTGCATTAGTTGAAAGTTAAAATAATCAGAAACACTGAATTTAGCTTTACCATTTTCTTGCTAACTGAACAATAGAAAAGCATTTACATAACATGCAAAACTTAACAAAAAGGACTGAAAAAAAACATAAAATAAGAAGGAATTTATACTAAAATATCAAATAATCTCACAGGTCTTTCCATATCACAGCTCCCTACAGCATTAAGTTTAAGRCTTGGGTCTTGTTGAATGGCTTGAAGGGCAATGCAAAGACAGCTTAGGGTCAAACTAAATATTTCAATGATTCTCTATTTTGAATAGTAATATTACTGCAAAACTCTATGGTAAAGCTTACTTTCAGATTGGCTCAAACGAGTTACACAGATATTACTGAAGTCTTTGTTCTGTTACTAGCTCCCAGTAGCTATATAAATAGATCTGTTTACACATTAATTTTTGTAACTTGTGTTGGGTAAAATACAAATAGTATCCTTCCTCATAAATTTAATCTAATATGTCTGAGGGAGCTATTAAAGCAGAGCAACAACACAAAAGGTCAAGTTCCATAGCTACCAAGAACAACACAATCCAAAATACAGATATGCCTGTTTACACAGCACCTTAGCATATAATAYCAACAACTTGGTATCTACTTTAGTTATTTACTGTGCTTCTGTCTGTTAAGAAGAACTTTTCAACTTAGTAAACCCAGTATCSTTTAGATGAAGTAAGGCATCAAAAAATCCTCAATAAAGTGAGAGCCTTGTATGAACTGAAGGTTCATATAACCAGAATTTGGAAGGGCAAAAATGAAATGAACATCTATGCAAGATATGACTTTTCATCTTGGAAAAAAATAAGTCTGAGTGGAGACATGAAGTCTCCAAAATTATCAGAAACATAGATTTACGGAATAATCACTATTTCTTGCAATCAAAACAAATGGGAAAAAAGTATCATTGGAAGAGGCACGTAACRAAAAGACAGTATTTTTTTCAGACAATATGAAGCATCATTGCTATACGTTGTTCTGGACTGGTTTGAGCAGGCTCTAGACTAACTCTTGAAACAGGAATCCTTTGAGGAATAGTTGATATAGTATATAGAAACCACAAAGGCTTTAAGGGCCCAAATGGGGCCCAAATGGGCCCAGAACTGTTACATGCTTGTCCTACTTTTATTCTCTTCTCTGCATAGCTGCCTTGTGCTGCTGTTGGAAGCAGAATACTGGAACAGATGAACCTTTGGTCTGATCCATGCAGCTATTCTTATTATTGTGGCAATCCTTTTCTTTTCTGACCTGGATACTTCAGATTAAGTTTGGAGCCCCTTGTGTGTTTTTTTTTTTCTGTGTTTTTTCGTAATGAGGTGAAATTGATGTAGAGAGTTTTTAAATGCAGTTTTGCTAGTCACAGGAATGTATTTGTTTCCCCACATAATCTACTTGCACAGAGCTTCAAGATTGCAAGCTTCTTGCAATCAAGATTTTGGTTTCAGGCTATTCTCAGGGCCAGGCAACCGATGACTGTGTAGATGTCTCAAGTTCCTGTAACTGCTTAACATTTTTTCTGTGATTTTCTGTATTTCCTCCCTTGCAGACAAACAATTCCATTGCCCATTGCCTTCAGCCTTTTCTATAGAAATCAAGATTTTCTCAAAGAAATCTTTGGGCCGAGTTTTGTTCCTACACAGGTTTTGTCACATCCTGTACTTGAGTGACAAAATTAAAAAGATAAAACCTTACATGGAAAAGGCTTCATGGAAAATGGTTTCCTAATACTTATCTTGAATGAAACAATTTGGTGTAACAGGTCTGGCATCATTTAACCTAACAAATACATTCAGCTTGTTTAGGAAGGGAAGGGGATTTAATCTTATATTTTGGCTCTGTCAGCAATTTATTCATGGGTTATTTAGGGGTCTGAGCCTGCAAACTGGTAAGCCACTTCAGCTCCCGCTGAATAAACACTAATGAGATTACTCAGCTTCCAAGACATGCTAAGCTCCACGAAGAAAGGGCCTAGACAAAACAGCAGTTTCTTTTTTCTTCTTTTTTTCTTTTTTCTTCTTTTTTTCTTCTTTTTTCTTCTTTTTTTCTTCTTTTTTTCTTCTTTTTTTCTTCTTTTTTTCTTCTTTTTTCTTCTTTTTTCTTCTTTTTTCTTCTTTTTTTTCTTCTTTTTTCTTTTTTTCTTCTTTTTTTTTCTACTTTTTTCTTCTTTTTCTTCTTTTTTTCTTCTTTTTTCTTCTTTTTTCTTCTGTTTTTTTTTCCATGAATCCTAGAAAGATGGCCAGGCTAGGAAGGCTAACTCAAGTTTTAAAGGGATTTTAGAGGAGGAGTCTTAAAGATCATTTCAGTAAGAGGAGAGTAGTTAAAAATGTCTCAGACAAAAGGGAGGCTTTACTTTGGGGTGGTAGGGTTAACATGTATTTATTTTGTTCTTCTTCTGAATTAAGACACTTTGCTGATACTTGTTCCATAGRGAGAGGTACCTGATACATTTTGAATTTGGCAGTGTGATAAGCTGTGTCAGGAGGGCTTTTTGTCAGCTCCAGAGAAACTCACATCACATAACACAGAGTAAGGAAGAGCCCAACGTGCCTCTCCTGCAAAAGCTTCAAGGAGGCTGCTCTGTGCAGGCCACCAAGCTCTGCTGCGAGCACAGATGAGCATCTTCAGGTGAACCTAAGCAAATTATTTTAATGTTTAAACCATTCAGATACTTGTAAATTATTTCCTGTCTCAGTTTAAAAACATTTTTAAATGAATTCAGACATATTACAATTTGTTCTGTAAGAGCTAAATCCTTCATTCCCTTCACAAAAATTAAAAAGTGATAAAAACTCTAGCCTGAAAGTGCTACTGGAAATCACATTTTTCTCTCTGATTTAGCCCTGTTTGTAATGTCCCCACTCTGAATCCTCTCATTACCTTCCCGTACTAATGCCAGCACTGAAATATAACATTTTATGAATTCATAAATCTGATTTTTTTTCTGACCTTCAGTAATAAAATATCTCAAGCTGTAGTATCATGCAAATCTGTAGAGATTAGAAAGGGTAAGTGCTTGATTTTCTACACTCAGGTCTTTTCCCATTTTCATCTAATGCGCGGGCGGTCCTTTTTCCCACCCTAAAGAAATGTGAAAGTTACTGGAAACCTCAAATATGGAAGGGAAGTGTGTGGAGCATAACACAAGCTGGATAGCAACTAGCTCTACTTGATTTAGAACAGCAATAGCTGCTCCGGTGGAAAAATAAATAAATAAATAAATAAATAAATAAATAAATAAATAAGTAAATAAATGGCAATGAAGCACCTGCAGGTAAATACAAGAAAACTGACTTTTTGAAGAGAGCAAGACATGAAAGAAGTCAGTCCTAAAATGACATGCCTGTGCTGCTTGGACAAAATTAGATAAACAGGGCAGTTAGTTCAACTGGCGCCCTTTCGATTACAAGGAGAGAGGGAAATAAGAAGTTTTGTGCGTTTATTCCCATCTCCCATCCCGCGGTTGGCGGTAAAGGACACGAGGAGCATGGACATGTATTTTAAAGCCGCTTCCAGCTTTTGGGGCTCTCCACCCGCCAAGCAAGGCCGGGGACAAGGAGATGGAGAGGGGAAAGGCTCCGCGGCCGCCGGGGCGTCGCGCGGCCGCCCGTTACCGAGGCGACGCCGCGCGGCCGTTGGGGCGGCCGTTGGGGCGGCCCCGCCCTAGCTCCTCGAGGAGCCGCCGAGCCCGGTCCGAGCGGCTGCGGGCGCGGCGCCCGTGGGAGAGCGGCGGTCCGCGGGCACGAGCAGGTAGGGCCCCGGGTGGCCGTTGGGGCGGCCCCGCCCGCGCTCCTCGAGGAGCCGCCGAGCCCGGTCCGAGCGGCTGCGGGCGCGGCGCCCRTGGGAGAGCGGCGGTCCGCGGGCACGAGCAGGTAGGGCCGCGSCTGGCTGTGGAAGTAGCGCGGAAAGTGGCCGTGCGATCCGTGAGGAGCCGCGGCCGCCCRCTCGGACCGAATTCCCGTTGCTACGGAGTGGTGAAAGGCAGCCGGGTGCCTGTCGAGCGACAGGGGCAGGGAGAGGGGCAGGAGAGGCAGGGATATGGCAGGGAGAGGGGCAGGGGAGGTAGGGCTAGGGCAGGAGTGCTGGGGGCTTCATGTTGGCAGCTTTGCCCGGGTTGTGTAATGGCTGGAGCTGCCAAAAAGCCCGTGATGGAATAAAAGGGAGCAACAGATATGCTGRTATCCAAGCAGAGGACTTGGTGCCTCGGAGTGGGAATCCTTTGTGAATAAATGTCACACTTCTCAGTTCAGCAAGAACTGGAGCCATCCTCCCAGCTGAATGTTACATGTGAGTTGACTTAACTCTAGTTGAGATAATGTACATGTTACCAACTGAAAGAGTATTTTTTTTTCTGCCTGCTGTTTGTATGGATACATGCAGTGTCCGAAACACTTTGGGGCCAGCATAGTGCTGTCTGCTGTAGCTTCTTCAAACCATGAACCTGAGGGCTTTGCCCTCTCTCCTGTGTGCCCTTCAGCGGCGCCTCCCAGGAGTTGCTGCTCTGTGGGTTTAGTTTGGGAGGTGCCGAACCTTCCATATCCTGAGCCCATCAGAGCACCCAAGAGCCCCATGTTCCCGCTCTGCCCTTGGAAACTCGTAGCCGCTTCTCTCTATTGCCCCTGCTTGTGCGTGGATAGCAGCGGTCTGGGTTACYGGGGTCTCCCTGCTCCTGTCACACAGGTGTTTTCAGAAGAGAGATGTTTAGGTCAGTTTGTGCAGATAATGGACATGCAGTAAATATCCCCGTGTATTTGTATTGCTCATAAAAATGTCGTGCCAACATCAAGCTGTCCTGATCAGACATTGGCTTTAGTGGATTGTGACTTGGAAGTAGAGCAGTAGAGCATGGTGCCCTATTCTGTGTGCAGTATTGGGCAATATAGTCCTGAGAGAGGGGCTCATGGGCCCTGGCAGAGCCTCCGGTGTCTCAGTTCCTGCTGTCCAGGCTAAATCTGATCCGTTTTCCTCGTGGATCCCTCGAGTTCCCTTTTTYTGCAAACCTTATTGCTCCTCTTACTTGTGGATCAGGTCAAGAGAACCAGCATAAGCAAGGCAGCGGGAAGTGCATTGCTGGGATCTCGGGGAATTTAGGGAAGCCTAAAAGCAGCGGCATGTTCTTACGTCAGAGATGAGGCCAGGGTGCACTTAGCCAGTCGGATATATACTGTATCGCTGTGTAACAGCTGTGGAGATGCTGGTTTTTATTTATTTATAAATCTGTCMTTTGTGATGAAGTCTGTGTTAGCTTAGTTAGCCCTCTTCTGAATCCTGAATTCTAAGCCTGTCGTAAGTGGATATTATAGCAACCAAAGCAAACAGGGTAAATCCAAGCTCTGAGCATGGGGTGCTTTAAATGGGTTAGGGGTGAAACTCAGGTGACCTCTGCTATGTCTTTTCAGGAGCAGCTGTGCTTCTCACTGGACCAGCATGTGGAATTCATTGCAACTCTTTCAAGACGGTTCCTGTTTCAGAAGAACCAATGGGTGCTGTGAAATCTGTGTAACACCTTTTTAAAGAAGACTGCCTAGTAAGAAATGTAGTCCATCTGCAATAATAGTAAAAACAACAGAATCAAAGCTCTGCCTATAATCTCAATAGGATCTATAGTATTTCTAAATCTGTATATAGATTTTATATATATTATAAATCTATAGGATTTATAGTAAATAAAGCAGTGGGCTTTTCGTAACAAGTAGTCTCTTTTTTTTTTTTATCTGCAAAATAACTAATGTAACAAAGCTATCATGAATATGTCTCTATGTAAGATAATTGAGTTAAGGAAATATATGCATATCTGAAGGATTAGAACCTAGAAAGAAAACTGATTCTTTTGAAAAACTTGAAAATAAAGAGAAAAGTGTATTCTAGGAAAATGAAATAGTAATTCAAACTTCGTTTTTGCAGAGGCAGCAGGACTGTGAGTCGCATTTACAYGTTCAACAACTGGAAAGATGCCAAGTTCTAAAAGTAACTTTGTGTGCTTAGATGAGGATGTTATAAATGACATTTCGGACTTGAGTGAAATGAAAATTTCAGATGAGAAAGGATCTACTGAAAAGAGCACAACGACTTTAATTGAGGAGAATGGATATCATGACTCGATCTACATAAATGCAGCAAAGATTTTTCAAGGCATTCATAACCAAAAGCCTCAGGATAGGATATTGGTGCGATATGGTGACGACTCCGCATCTCCCCTGCTAACTTTTAAAGATGAGTATTCCCAGCGTGTGTCTTATGAACTGGCTTTCAGTGCTTTAAAATGTAAGTAGAAAACTTTTCCAAGAATTGTCAGCAGAAATGTTTGCTGCGGAGACAATATGTAAAATCAAATGTTTGTGTCTGCTTGACAGCAGATGGTTGGGAAGGCTTTTGTTAGACTGATAGTTACTATTAGGAGCCCTCACATATTTAAATACATTCAAGAAATGTCAGTAATTTGTGAAGTCAGACATCTGAAATCTGCATCTAAAGGAATTCTCTTCAGGACTGTTACTGCTTGTGATTGAAATTCTCGTGTTACTAAAACTTCAGCTTTTTCTTTACAGAATTATAAGTAGTATTTATAAGTATTACAAGTATTTTTTTTCCAACTTAGAACTTTTAAGACTTCAGAGCATAACTTATCATTGCTCTTTTGTAGATCAAGATCTTCTTGAAAAGATACTGTTAGATAGCTGTGCTTACCCCTGTCACTCAATAGTAAGTAAATATTTTGAGGAAGTAAATGTTGCATTTTCTGAATTGATATATTCAGAATCTTTTCTGGTGATTCTGAGATCTTCTTCAGTTGTTATTTTAGACTATATAGAAGGGTTCATTCAACTTGTCTTTCCTTGAAACACCAGATTTATAACTTCAAAACATAAAAATTGAATTCCGAGTTCATATGAACAAGTAGTCAWATGGAATAGCTGTTTATGAAAATAGCCAGCCATATATGCCAGCTTTTAGCAATAAAAAGTGCAGTTCACTCATACTTAGATACTTCCCTGTTTTCATATGAAAAGAAAAGCTAGAGCTGGTAGTGTAGCCTGTTGAACTGGCAGTCTGCTGTGTAGTCTGCTGTTCAGTGCAGTTTAAATCGGTGCCTCTGAAAATACCAAGAAGAATTTGAATGGATGTTATTCGTGGAAGTTGATACAACACTAACAGAAAGGAAATAAGACTTCCATGGACACATTTTATGTTTGGCTATACATCCCTAATAGCTTTTTTTCTTCTAGCTGATTTCAGTTGTATTCAGCAGAAATTAAGAGTTTTCAAGGGTATGTAGAATTAATAAAAGAAGGTAGAGGCAAATAAGAAATGCCTAGAAGACGACGTTGCCCCACTAGCAGTATGTAGCACCTAGCTCCACAAAGAGGGAGATGCTGCATATATTCAACCTCAGACATGGTGAAGAGATCTGATGAATGTCCCACCTGTGGAACTGTTCAAACTCATCAGTTGTTTGATACCCAAGAATCCCACAGGAGATTAATGGTAGACAATAAATTGTTGTTAGCTTAGCTGTTCATAGAACTAATTTACACAGACAAAATAACTCCAGCATTTAAATTTGGATAATGTTAAATATTAAGATACAAAAAATGAGATAAATGTAGGAATAAAAATATTTTTAATATTGATAAGCTAAATGACTAAAAATTTGTATTAGTTTTTAAAATATTCACAAGTGCTGTCATAACAAACTGCTTTAGTATTCTTATAAATACAGTCTCATAGAGGTTTTTGTGCCTTTTGCATGAGAGACTGTTCTTGATGTGCATCTCTTTGCAGGAGCAAGGCAGGCTTTGTGTCACTCTTTCCATCCCTCTCTTTTCCTCTTGCAGCCAGATGAACTGACCAGCCTGCTTGTTGTGATGCTTTATGACCTGCAAGACAGAAAGTTTCAAGCCCGAGAGATTGTTGATGAGGAAGAGCCTGTAGCAGAAGTTCGGAAAATAGAGCATTATCTATACAAGTATACATGCTAACCATTTATTTTTTTCACATAAATTAGCAGACTAAAGAGTTGCCTAACCTATTCCTTTTCTAAATTTGTGACTGACAGCTGTCTTTCATTTTGAAATTTCATTTCTTTATGGTTTTTGTTTTWAATGAAAACCTGGGAAAGCCATTTTTAAGGAGATGGGAAAGTTTCATATTCCTGCAATTAAAAAATAATATAGCTAAGATGCAKTCTTTGTATTGTGGGTGGTTATGCTGGAAAAAAAAAATTATTTCTGCTTTCTTGAAGCTTTTTCATATATTTAAAAAAAAACAGGAGAAATAAAGTATTCTTTAAACATAACTGTGAATGTAAGAGTTAGGAGCAAAAGGGTAGTGGGATGGAATAACATCCTTTCATTTAGCAATGTTGCTATTACAGGAGTTTGTAACTAGAACAAAAGTGACTATGTAAAATAAACAGGTAATACTTAATTCTTTCATCAGTCTGTTGGTGAAGTCAAYAGGTATTGGGCAAAATTGTCTTCTGCTGGATTTAGAATAACCCAGAAAGTTAATGGGTAACATCAGTGCTATGTACGTCTGGAGAGTGGTGAGCAGTACCCCTTGACAATGGAAGTAGGTCATGAGCAATTTTTATTTGCTCTGAATTCTCATTTATCAATGTTACGCATAAAACTTGTGGGAAGAAAAGACTGGGCATAYTTTTTCTGGCATCTTCCCAGAATAATAAAAAACCCATGACTTCTAGTTGCTGTAGTGCTTCTGTTGTTTCTATATATATTTAGAGGTCAGTGTTCTTCAATGCTCACTTAAAAATATATATATGTGTGTGTGTGTGTGTGTATATATATATGTAAAAACTCATAGACAAGGCAGTTCAGTAGCGACTTGTCATAACTTCAGTCATATGTATTTAATATGGTCTCAGCTGTGTRTTGTTTGTAGGAGAAGATGCAGCTATGCATTTTCTGTAAGAGCTTGCAAAGGGAAGCTTTGCTCTTGGTTTTGATCTCTGGATGAGATAAACCCTAATATAAACGTTGCATGATAATAGCTGGTTTGAAGAGCTACAAAGTTGAGTAAACTTGTGCCTGTGCATTGTAGTTTTAAGACCAAATTGGCAGCTGCACTAGCAAGATGTCGAATCAAACATGATGCTCTTTCAATTGAACACATTCTGCCAGAAACCATACGGAAACAGGAGCAAAGGGCTTCCGTGGTCCCTTTGTATGCCTGGATAAATACATTAAAAATCAGGTAAGTAACTCACAAGTAACAAGTAAGCTTTGATTGATTTTAACCTACAAAACTATATATATAATATTTTGGTTTAGAATTTTCAKTAATTTCAGTTTCTTTTAACAAATACTGTTAAATGCAGCAAAATTGCTTTACCTGTATTTTTGTAGATTACTGTAATAGTATTCAAAAACTGTTAACTGTGTGAAATATGAAAGAATGTTTCTCACTTTTGAGTCTTTCRCCAATCAACTAGGGAAATCACTTAGCAATATGGGTAAATAATCTCTATTTAAAAAAGAGAGAAAATATCTTAAAAGTACATTTATCGCTCTAAGCCATAAAATTGACCAAGGATGTCGAGAAACTTTAAGTACTTCAAGTAAAAATAAAATAAACTTCAAATAAAAGGATATTTTAAAATCCCCTTATATACAATGTATTATTAGATATACAACACTAGTGTTTTCAGTTCTGTTCTGATAAATGAACAAGATCATCTTGTTTTATAGATTATTGGTTTTTTTCTTGTTTTCAAGATTTTGATTAATTTATACTTGTTTTGGACCAATACTCTGTGCTAAGATTATAGACTTTTCAAAATAGAGAAGATGTCTTAGTTTTCTGGATAAAATTTTGCAACCCCTACCTAAGATTGCGTGCAATAGTTGACCGTAAAGGTACATTTCAGCCAGAAAATCTCTTGGTGTCTGTAACTTCAAACCTTTTCAGTGTTTGAATTGCAACCCTAACCATGTATGCTTCTGTTACCTTGGCACAATGATTATTTCAGAGATCAATCTTTAAGTTCATTGGCGAGCTGGACTACMCTGGAAGGAATCAAAAGAACCAAACTATTTCAGCAGTAAATTTGCTACGGGTCATCCTGTAGCACATGTGGGTACTTACATACTGGTGTTTCGAAGCATTTTCTGGATGAACATTACTCTTTCTTCATTATTTTATCGCTTACTCCCTGAAGTATGTTGAACCAGAACATGGAGAACTAAAATAGAGTGAACATATTTCTAATACTAACTAAAATAGAGTGAACATATGAATAGAGTGGGCATATTTCGTTCTGTAAATGCACACTTTAGGAGAAAAAAAAAGGCAAAAATCCCAAGTGTCAGTATGTTTCACATTGCTTAACAATGGTTTGTTTTTAACAGCCTGAGTTGTATTTTAACAGCCTTCAGGATGTTGTCAAGAGTTTGGAGACAAAGGGATTCAGAAGAGTTGAATCTGTGTCAGACTTGGACCATTATACTTACTGTATTGACCAGCATTGTCATGATGTGTTGGTTTTTCCTTCCTCTCTCAAGAAAGAACTGCTTAATTTGGATCTTTTTGCAGATTACAAACTCTTACTACAGGTGAGTTGATTGAATCCTTGAGTGAGTTATCTTAATATGATCTGCAAACCGTAATGTTTCGCATTAGAATTGGGTTAGGTGTTATGTGAATTTCCTATTAAATCATTTGGGCAAGAACACATTCTCAGAAATTCCTTTTTTTTTTCTTTTCTTTTAATAATTAGAAGGCTGGGCATTGATTTACATAGTAAATTCAACATGTTAGAATTAGGCTTGTTAGGCTTAGAATTGATAGCCACATGTTAGGCTTAGAATTGATAGCCACAACTAATATGATGTTTTGAATAGAACTTTAATTTTAAAGTGCTTGAAATCAAAACAACAGAAGTGTCAGAGCCTGTCTCACCTCTGAAAAGGTGGGGAAAGCTTCGGTGTAATTCTGTATGTTACTCCCATTCAGTAGATAATGGCATGTTAATAGTGACAGTATCTCTTCTCCTGCCTTTGCATGTTTGCAGTAGTGTGATGCTGCTGCTTCCTAGTTTAAGCAGTGTGGTTCCTAAATCTCCATGAGGTCACCGATCCCTTTCATAACTGGGCATCAGGAGGCCCTCTAGGAAGCTTATCCAGTTATTCCTTTTGCAGATGCAGGTGATTTGGAGTAACCTTAGAAAAACACTCAAATTTTAAAGAGTCTAATGATTTTGAATGCATGGCAGAAACTTCAGAAGAGTATTTCCACTCAATGCTTGTCATTTTTCTGGAAATTTTAGCCTAAAGATTTAGTAACCAAGGTACTAATTAATTATGTGTGTCTCATTAAAATATGTAAATTTTGATTAGATGATCCACAGAAAAGAATCTACATGACAAGCCATAGATTGTGGGGAAAAAACTGCAAATATTACTCTTTAAGAATCCCCAATCCTGTCCATCCCTGTCTGGAGGGATAGGAGGTATTTGAATAGCTTAAGTGGTATACACACGTAACTATTCCTCTTTAGGGAGCTGCCTTAAGTTTGTCTTCACCTATAGATTTTACTTTTCTTAGGCATTAGATTTGGAATAAAATTTAAATTTAATGAGTTTGTCTTAGTAAGATGTTTGTTTTTATATTAGTAGCTATCCATGATTTTAGTTTTGTCTTGCTCATTTGTAGCAGGGGAGGAGAAAAGAAAAACTTTCCTAATATGAAAAATGGTAACCTTTGTAGACACTAAAGCTGTATGTTTTTGCATTGTTATTTTGCAGGATAAGTCTCGCAGCCTCGCTGTACATTCTGTGTGTGCCCTGCTGAGTGCAGATGATGACGTTGTGGTGGCTCACATGGCTTCCCGGCTGACCATTGCCCATCTGTCAGTGCTGACACATCACAGCATGTCCAGAATTTTTGTTTGTGGGGTAAAATCTCCAGCAAAGGACACTGAACTGAAGAACGTGTTCAGGCACGTGGGATGTACAAGTATGTGTTAAGGAGCTGCAGTGCATATCGGGTGGTACAGCTGTTTGTTGGATTATCTGTGAACTTCAAAATTTTATCACAATTGACAGATTTCTTGTTTTAATATTTGGGAAAGACAATAACTTTTTTTTGGCTACAAAATGAACTCTTTAGCTACRGTCAAGTTAATCAAAGGTGGTAGTTTAACCCTGCCACAGATGCAGGCTCCTGAAACGTCAGGGTGTTCTCCCATGGAAGTAGCTAGAACGGAACAGCCGATGCCTGGAAGCTCCTGGATCTGTGTATTTGGTGTTTTGCCATTGCTTTCAGTCTGGTTTTCGGCTGTTCCTGAGAGTGCCAGTTGAGCACCTACCCACGCAGGCAGCTGTCCCGCAAAGAGGACACRGTCAGAGCAGAACGCACCCAGCCGTGGGCATCCCGTCAGTGGAAGATGCTGGGGCGTAATCCCCCAATYTGCCTGGAGCTAGCAGGATTTCTTTTGGCCCATCTGGGTCTAACAGGCCTCTTGGAAAAATTTGTAGCACCACTATGTGTTCAACTGTGAATTGTGCAGGCTTGCTTACATGTGGCACTGGGGAGTTCTTCCCCCTTTTTTTCAGATATTCAGTTGCTACGGGATGACTTTACTGAGATTGGAGCAACAGACCCGAGACTGCAAAAAGCTAAAGTTATTCTGCTGCTGCCACAGTGCTCTGGAGTGGGTGTTGGCAATCCAGTAGAATTTATTCTAAATGAACATGGAGGTAAATTCTGATACAGTAAGCTAGTTCCTGCTTTGAAGAGGGAGTATTCAAGCTTGTTCAGTAAATGATACCATTTCATTAAAAGATTTGCTTTAAAATTTTAATTTTAACTGCTATAATTACACCCATATTTTAAATAACTTGCACAGTTCTGCAAGTGTAATATTCGGTAGTAGAAACTACAAAAGGGAATAATGTATAATCAATTACAGATGATTTTTTTTCCACAAAAAGTGTGCAAAAACCTAACTGGCCTAGTTTAGGATACTTAGGAAGAAAGCAATCTTTCTATGTGGCACTCAGACATTTCATAAAGACAACTTCAGCCTTTCTTTTGAAATAATAATAAAAAAAGACCACAAGCTGAACAGTTATTCCAAGGTATGAGTTTGTATCTAATTTTCCTTTGGTTATATTTCTTTATTGATCATTTATTTAAGTATTTACTGTACAATTTCATTAAATATAAATAAGAGGCAGTAGCAATTCAAAAAAAAAAAAAAAGAGTAATCATTTTAGGCATACTCTACATGGTAATTTGTAAAATCTACCTTCTCACTGCACCACTAAGAAACAAATTTGCTGCAAAAGCATTTTCTACAAGCAGCTGAATTTTAAGATACTAATAGAAATTGTATAAAGAAGCGTGTTTAAATTTACATCTCTTTGCATTTAGATGCAGGATTGCTTAGAGACCTTTTCCACGGATCTGTATCTGAGGATAAACTCACTATTCTTGCCGAGAGGCAGCTGAAAGAGTTGATGCATGCAATGAAATGTGAGTGCACTCGTTCTCAGATTTCTGCCAAGACACTTCCATTGTACTATCACCAGCTTTTCTGTAGGGAAGGAGTATGTTGGTTATTCTGCAAGTTAACATTTTGCATGTAACTAAAACCCTTACGGCTTCGTACTCRCCAGCCATCAGTACAATAGTCTTTGGGGGGCTTGTAGGGGACTGGCCTTCTAACTTAGTCATTCTGTGGCCCGGAGATGTTGGAAATGTTGTAGCCTGTARACGTAGCCTGACTCCACTTGCCCTGATCTTCCCCCAGGCCTTTAGTGGCTCTGTGAAAACACAGTGGAGACATTTGTGTGGAAACATGCAAAGATGTGAAAAGATTTTAATTGCTGGAAAACATGTGAGAATGAATATTTATGAATGTAGGAGTGTATATTTTATCAGTATATTTTATGATACTCTATGCTATTTTCAGTCCTTACTGAAACATTTTGCGTTTTAAGAACGTTAAGAGTGAATAATATTTTTTCTCCTTTCTGTAGTTAACAAAGTGCAAGCTATTGTGTACTGCACTTCCTCAGTTTACCCAGAAGAAAATGAGCTAGTAGTGAACAAAGCGCTGGAGTCTCGAGTGCAAGGAAATAAAGGGCAGCCATATAGGTAGGCAATCTATGGAAGAACTTCAAGGATAACAGAAGCTGGTATTTCCAAGGGTTTTTTTTCCTGCTTTTTGCTAAAGTTAAGGTTGAAGTTAAGCATTTATTAGTGTTTAATAAGGCTGTTTTTGATCTCCTGTACCATGCTCCCCTGGGAGCTTATCCTTAGGTGGAGGGAAAAACAGCTATTGTTACAATTTGACCTGGGGTGTCTTAGGCAGCTGGTAGTGCCCACCTCCCAGCCTCTGGTCAGGTCAGTGTCGTGCAGGGGCCACGTTTGCTGTTCAGCATCACAAACAGGGAATAAAAACCAGTGCAGTCACAGAGAACTGTAACTGCCCAGGTAAAAGGAGTATCGGTTTCAGCCTTTTCCCTCTGGGATAGGGGAAAAAAAAACCCAGACTCCTTTTACCCTGTATTCAGCATAAGGGAGTATTTTAAACTTTGACTTTCTGGGTTTTAAATGAACACAGCAGCAAAACCCAACACTCAAGGTATGATTCATTGCCTTTAAATTTCTAAGGTTTGAAATGGTAAATGATAACTATGGCCAAGCCTAAACATTTTAAAAAGGAATGAGTAATAATGGTAAGAGCTAGTTAAGAATAAGGCATCTTTTTTGTAACTGCTCTTTTTGTGACTGCTCTTTTGTCACTGCAAAACTGGGCATAGCCTTGCTAGTGAGCCAGTGCTAGTCCAGAAGTGTTTGTGGACTCCTACTGCAGCCTCTGTTTTCCTCTGGGATTTGAAATTTGGTGAAGTCTGTCATGTCTTGATCTCTGTGCAGCTGCTACTGCACAGAGGGAGCTAGAGAGATCCTGGGAACATCATAGTTTCTGAATTATTTGGACACAAATAGTACACCAGTTTATCATTTATGGAAAAGCATTTATATAAAATTCAGAGTATTTTTTTCCTCCAGGAGCTTGCCTTTTTCTGCCCCCTGTCTCCCTTYTCCTCCCAGAAATGTCCTTTCTCTCCCATCCCTAAAATCCTCCACATTTTTTTTCTAGAAAGACAAAAGAAGCCATTTTGTCTTTTGCAGAATCATCATGAAAATTGTCATACCACCAAATTATTATTTTCAAATATAAGACAATTTAAGATAGTAAGAAAGGGAGGATAAAGCTCCCATTAGGGCTTTGCAGACCCAAGCCAGGGTATGATTGAAGATTGATTGAACTTGAAAAACTGACGCTTCCGGAGCAGATCCTCCTCTGTTGACACACACACATCCTAGATGATTTTGTGTGTAGCTCTTGCTGCAATAAAGCTGTGTGTAACCAATGTAAACAGAGCGGTAATAGACACCATAAATAAAATACGTAGTGGGATTATGCTTGTCTAGGATGAAAGCTCAAGCCTGTTAGGCCACATGTATTACTCAAGATTACACTATTCCTTGTGCCCTTTCCTCTGGGTTATTCAAGTGGCTCATTCGACTAAAGGAATGCAGAATTTCTAGTACAGAATTTCTAGCCTTCCTCATGACTTTGGGAGGGACAGGTTAGGGGAATAGACCGTCCTGGGTGATTATCACAGAGCTGCTCTCTATTAATTGCCTCTTTCAAGAAAGTAGAGGGCTTTCAGGAACCTGCTGGGTCAGCTGGACTTACCTTCTGTATTGTGTCTGCTGGAAGGGTTCTGCCTTGCTGGAGTGGTGCTGAGCAGAGTGAGGCTGTGCTGCTAAATTTCAGTCTTGGGAGGATGGCTGGATCATGGACTAGGCCTTGTGGCTCAGAGGTCAGCAGCCATGTGGGAAAAACATTGGAAATTGCACTGGGGCACTCATCAGCTTGCTCTCCTGCAGCAGCTTTGTGCCAGTTTAGTGGCCTTATGAGCCAAGATTCCTAACTTCACAAATTGCCTTGAGGTCCTTGAGGTCCGTTTGTAGCAGCTAGGGGATCACTGGAGTACAGGGAAAACACTAGACCAGGTTACTTCTTTCATCCTCATTCATGCACTTCTAAACTGTATCTGTCTTGAAAATTGGAGCAACTGGATGTTGATTTCTACAAATAGGGAAATCTTTTTAACCTAAGGGTGTGGGGTGTTTTTTTTTTTTGTTTGTTTTTTTTTGTTTTTTTTTGTTTTTTTTTTAGCTTTTACATAGATTGTGTGCTTATTAATTTTAAACCATCCTTATAGTTGTTGCCTGGTACACAATTTTGAGAGCACTTCTCAACTTCATGGATAATTGGATAATCCAATAATTGCAGATCTCATACAGATTTGCTACCTGTTGGGCGGTTAAGATCTGTTCTAAAAAGGATGAATCCACAAGTCTTCCTTGAGATGCTGTTTTTAAAATGGAGATAAGATGTATGAAATTGTCATTGAAAGCATTGCATTTGGAAATTACTCAGTATATCCTTGTTTGTTTACTTCTACATCTGTAAATATTCTCTTCTGATCATTTGTTTACTTTCTACAGGCTCATTCCTCCTGTTTTTCCTATTTGCTCCAATTCGAAGGCTTCCACTGATTGTTTTTTCAAAATGGAACCATCAGAAATTTCTAATTGTTGCTTTTTAGCTATTCTGGAAAGAGAGGTAAGCAGAGAAAACTAACACCATAAAATACTTCAAAGAAAATATGTTGCTATTTTCCATTAATGAATATGTGAAATGCAACTTTTTTTTTAAAAAAAACTTCCCGACTCTTCTTCACTTGTCCTAAACTGACCAAAGAATAGGTAAGCAAAGGAGCAATTTTTTTTTCTAGAGGTAACTGCAATGGAAATATGCAATTTCTGGAGTGTTACTTTTAAGCATAACTTTTCAATATGTGCCTTTTATTTTGGGTCATCTTTTTGTCAGAACAGTCCTTGGCGTGCTAGGCATGTCTAGGGGAAACAGGCAGCTGCTGGAGAGGCTTGATTAGGAGCGTAGTAAGTGAGTGGGGTCTGTTGAGTGARTGACATGGACTCAGACTTGCTCGTATTTGATCAGTGCCATCAGTGGAGATTAAGACTTAATTATAAATTGAATTAAATAGGTAGGCTTATGTTTCCTTCCAAAACTAAGGCATATGTGGATCTCACTTGAAAAGTGGTGGGTTTTTGCTAAGTAAATGAAAAAGTCTTGGTGTGATTGTGTGATTCCTTAGAAAAGGTTTTAAAGGACAGGTTTAAAGGACAGATCCTCTCTGAGGATCAACATTTTCCCCTTGTGCCTGAGAAAAGTAGGGCTCCTCCTTCAGAGGAAGGAGGGAGCCACTTAAAATTTTACTGAAAATTAAGGGTATTAAATCCTGTTTATTTGTACTCCTGTCATACTAATCTCTAGTGCTTGAAAGAAGTGTGCTTCTTGGAGGGAGAAGRATTAGAAGGAATTTATTAGACTAAAAGAATGAGACATGGAAAAGCTTTTAAATGCTGTGTTAGTATTAGAGCTCCTTCACTGCAGGGGACTTGTTCACTGTCTTTCTGAGTTAGCAAGCTGTAGTTCATCCTACCACAGTCTCTCCCTCCAGAAAAATGAGCGATTGTATTTCAGGAAGTTCATTTGAGTATATTTGTAGTTAAATTTTACTTCACAGAACTGATTGCTCCTAATTGTGATTAGGAGAAGCTATTCCTTGGCCAATTTTTAGGTAACTCTGGAAGTGCACTTTGCTTGTGAGTCATAGCATTTGTGCTAAGAAGAGGCTAARCTGAATTTTCTAGCTTTAAAATACCTCCCTCTTCCCTTGGCAAGCTGTAAAGATTTTTTTTTATCCTGTTTCTTTTTATATATCTGGATAYTGACCTGGTTCCTAGTTGATGTAGTTCAAGAGCTCCTTGTTCATTTATTATGAGCAAAGATTTTATTATCATGACAGCAATACACATTTAATGTTGATAGTTCCACATTTTAATAATTTCGTGATTTATGCATGTATAATATTCCATTATGGATGCTATGCCTACCTTTAATGTATATTAGCTAGATATCACACAGGATTACAGAACGGTTGAGGTGGGAAGGGACCTCTAGAGATGATCTAGTCCAACCCCCTGCTCCAGCAGGGACACCCAGAGCACGGGGCACAGGGCG